TTAAGAATATGACTTGCAACATTATGAGCTAGATATAAAGAACGGACCTCAATTTCAAGTATCTACACTTGTTGAGTTGTGTTGACAGTTAACTAAGAATAAAGAGCTAGAGACTTATATTATGATTACTATATTGATTCACCTTGTATTGATTTTACCTATTTCCATCACGACTATTGAACGAGCTTTTTTTTGCAATGAAATATGTGAAGACGGATCTTCATAAACGATAAGAGTATTTTACACGCTCATTCGAGTTTTAAAATATTGATATTTCATTGTTCTTTTGATAAATTAAAACTTCCATATTTCATTTATTAGGGTAAATATGATGACTGGATGTGAAAATAGAAGAAAATTAGCAAGGGGGGAGGCAAAAATGATGAAGGCCAAAGCTTGAGGACTAAATTACAAATATCTAATAGTTGATTCGGAACACAAAACAATAATTGAAGATTGCTAGAAGCCAATTGGATGTAATTAGAAGTTAAAAAGAAATGAAATATGATCAAAGTATTTTCACAAATCAATTTCGGATCAAGTTATATTCCAAAATTTTAGCTGAAGTTTGAGACCAATTTTTTGGCGTAGTAAACGTTTCAACTAGAAAAATTATACTTCTATCAAAGTTGTATCCCTTTGTATTAACTTTCCAACGCACTTTGAATTGTCTTAATCAAATATTATAAGAGAAAGTTATGATAAAAATATTAACAGTAGTGCAAAGACAAAAACATGCTCGCGAACGTAACTTTCCTTATTCTATTGGAACTCTTTTGGAAATCGATTTGGACGTATTTTTCAACCCATATTTGATTCCTACAAATACCTAATAGAATAATAGATTATGATAACATCTCATATATATCTCATACACATAAATTCATCAATTAGTATCATCAAAGAGAGGTAAGTTCGATAATTTGACGCTCGATTTTGGATGATTGTTATAGAATTTAATGACTTTCAATTACTTGATCACTAATTGAATTGATTGTTAGTTTTATTGATTTCAATAGAAACAATAGGATAGATATGACTTTCTAATAATTATTGTAAAGTTCGATAGGAGATAGAGATATATCACTATGCTTTGCATGAATATTATAGATGTTCTTGCGTTTTTAATCATACTTTCATGTTCATAGCTTTCATAGAGATACAGGAAGGTCACATGAGATAATCGATTTAATTGACATTAAGAAATGCTTTTAATTAATTTAGGAATGTTGATCAAGAAGAATTTACACATATTATCGTGTTATTAATTTGCATTAAAATAAATTAATAAGAGGGATTCTTGGGATTAGTAACATTCAATTGAAATTCATAAAACTTTCAAAACTTGCTCATTTTAATTGTTAGTTTAATTAGATAAATTAGTACAAACCATTCAAACTACTTAGGTTAATCGATTAGAGTTAAAATTAATTTATTATTGATTAAGTACTTAATCTTCATGGAAACATACTTTATTCATCACTGGCAGAGGTAGTGTAGGGCCAGCACCCCAACACTATCCCCCAATCCATATAAAAACATAAGAAGAATTGCAGAATATTGGCAGCCCAACACCACCTCTAGTCCATATATAAACTTAAAAAGAAATTGTAGAATTTTAGCCCAAATATTATCATTAGTCCAACTGTAGTTTGAATCTCAACCCAAGTTTAATGTTCAATTATTCAAATTGTATTAAAGACACTACAATTATTAATTACACTTTTCATGATATTCATGAAATGTGAATATTTTATTGTCAATTTAGATATTCTATTTAATGCATGTTTGACTAAAATTTACTTACAATTATTAAGTAATTTTATTTTAGATAATTTGTATTGATTAGATCTAAAAGTAAATTACATATTTCAATAGTTAGAGACACTACATATTTTTCTAAATTTAAAAGTAATTATTACTTTTTATTTCTATGTACGTTTTCATTTTTTCTTATTCATACTTATAAAAAAAAATTACTTACTTTGACCATGAAATCGATATTATGATCAAAATAAATGACTTACTATAGATTTAATATTGATAATGAATAGAATATTTGTTACAACTTATTTATTTATAAAGTAAACTTTATATGAGTATATTCTAGAAATCGAGCAAAAAATAAACGTGAATTAAATTTAATTTCTTTGACCATCGAAATTCTTAGTTGATTTTTCTCGCTTTGGTTGAGATTCTTCACTCACTTTGAAATACGGTGATATAGGAGATCAATGAACGCATCAAATAATATTTTGAGACAATAATATATTATTGATTGCGTGTTTCGATCAAGCTTTCGGTTGTTTGGAAAAATTGGCCTTCAAAGTTACTAGCAGAGTACTTATTAAATAATTTTTAAAATTTTCATTGATAGATATGTATTTTTGCTTATTTATATTTTTTAAGGAAAGCGTTGATTTTTTATTTGGTAAAAAAATTACAAAGATTTAGTGGAATATTTTAATGTAAAACATCTAAACTTTTTTTTTTAATTATTTCATCGAGCGTCGTATATTATGGTAAATGTCATGAGAATAGCCTCCGAAACTCAATTTTTGTGGCGCAAGTTCATTCAAAAATTTTTAAGTTTCAGCCCATCCTAACATTATTTTTTTGGCTCTGTCCCTTACTTTATTACTTGTTCGTGATATTGTACACTTGTGAAAAATCAAATGATCAATAACAGAATGGGGGATGACTTTTTTGCTGATTGTATGACACTTTTCATCGAACGAGACTTGCTGAGAAGATATAGAGATTTTATTGTAGATAAATTATATGTTTCAAAACCTCGCATAGAACAACTTCAAATTACATAAATTTTACTTTAATAATATATATGAAATTATTATATAGACTTTGAATTTTAGCCCGTGTCCAAAATTTCTAGATTCACTCTTGGTTTGTGCTATATATATATATATATATATATATATATATATAATGATTTATATAATAATTTACATACACATGATATAGTGTGATATGATTGGATCGAAATTTTTTCAACCGTATAATAAAAACTTCTCCACTCTCTTTTTGACATATTATCTATATTAAATCATTATATAACTTTTTATGTAACTGTAGCACTATTTTATTTTCTTATATTTACAATTTTTTCCCTAGATTTTAAACTATTCAAAACTTTCTGTGCCTTACCACCCAAAAATGCAAGCAAAGAAAAATTCTGCTGATTAGATTTTAGATTGTAAGAAAGCCTCTCTTTCAAAAACTCCAAAAAATTGCTAGTCTTACAATTACACTGAGATATTGGATTTCTAATAAAATATAATCTTGCCCAATAAACGGTTTTACTTTGTCGTGTTACCACTAATTTATTACCCAAAATCCCACTAATTTATTACCCAAAATCCAGTCTTTTCTGTATCCATTCAGTAGACTCTAGTTTGGGAAAATGTCTCTGACTTATTCAAACAGTTTCTTGTTTTTATTTTATTGATAAAAGTTCAGCTTCATAATATCGTACAAAACACAGCATTTTGTTAGTTTCTTGATGACTTATGCATGCAAGCATTGACTTGTCTCGAAGTCTATAGGACTACAAAAGGCTGATTTCTTCATATAATGCATGCAGGCAGGACAACAAAGAATGGCAGGTCTTGAAAATCCCACCCATAAAATTAATATCTAAACATTCAACTTTTAGCAAAATATCGATTTGGTCATTAAACTTCATTTCAATTGAATTGAGTCATTGAGACTCCATTTGATTTTAAATTTAAATACTCTATCACTTATGGTCGCTAAATTAACTAAAATTACTTAATCAACTGTTATATCATAATAGACTTTTTACATAATTGTTGGTGGCATGGCAACTTAGAACTAATCCACGGTAAAAAATAAAAAATAAAAAATAAAAAAGTGAAAAAATAAATAAAAAAACCTTCATATTCAAAGATATTGTCATCACTCTCATAACATTTTAATTTCTAGAGTTCCAAGTAGTAATTATATGAAAGATCGAATGCAGTATGACAATCAATTAAGTAATTTCTATGAGAGATCAACATAGTCAATCGAGTTGATGAAAATTAAGAAAAGAATAAAGACATTTTAAAATTGGGTGCAACTAAGAACATCTCGAAGATACTCTTTAAATATAAGATATTCTCTATTTTATAGAGTTAACCCTTAAAATCATACTCTAGGAAATTCTTTAAATTAATATTTTAATTTATAAAATGTGTTTGCTCTCCAAATTAGAGCATCCCCAAGATACTTTTTTAAATATGAGATAATCTCTATTTTAAAGAATTAATTCTTAAAATAACGTTCTAAGATACTCTTTAAATTAATATTTTAAGAGTTAGTTAATTAATATAAAAGATAGAGAAAAATAATAAATAATTTTTTGTAGTAGTGAAAACTAAGTATTAAATATAAAGAGTTTGTTTGAATACTTCAAAATTTTAACTTTCTAAATTTATAAATATTCTTCAAATAATAAAATATGTTTTTTAAAAATAGAGAGTTTCTTAGAGATACTCTAAGAAACAACACGAGGATGGTAGTTTTATGGCATGTCTGAAGCAAATGCACAAAAATTGTAGGCATAGTATTCGATATGAAAACGAATGAAAAATTATTACAATGATTGATTGAGAGGAAGCTATAGTTTTTTGAACTTTAGATACCTTAATAAATTTATTCAATCCCCCTTCAAGTAGCGGGTTTAAAAGGGACGATGAGCCAAAAGTATACTACACTTGATTTATGATCACGAGGAGAATGTCAACTACATCAATCTTCGACGAGGTATGTCATTCTTTTTTGCCTCCAAAGTTTGTGCTATGTTTATCATTATTAACCAAAAAAATTTATTTAATGGTTTCATATTTAAAAAAACACACACACACACACAAAAAATTATGGCACGTTAAAATTCAAAATAACCTAATTGAGATTTTAAAGTTCAGTGATAGTTGACAAAATAGCTATCGAAAATTCCCCAAAATCCAATGCCGATTCTAGATTGGAAACAGTACATTATATAATAATGGAAACAGTTAATAGACTGTAGGAGCAGAAACAATACTGATTACTGCCAAACTAGACAATTCAGATATTTCCAAGTCTACAGCAAAACACAACACTGAAAACACAAAGAAATTGATAGATATAGAAAGAGAAAGGTGGTTAAGTTTCTTGATCCTTCACGTTGGGGGATCTTATGGGGAAGAGTTCCAGGGTTTGGAGGGGCCTAGGGTTACTACAGTAATGGAAAGTGGGACCCAATTCCATAATCATCATGAAATCATGAGGACATGGTCTGATCATGCAATCTTTCGGAAGATCAGACTTCCATGAGTAATCCACCATTTGGCCTCCAGTATCTTCTTCAACTACACCCTAACCATGTAAAAATGACAGAAAATGAGAAAAATAAATATAAGAATGTGTAGCTGATTCACTGAGTGACCTAGCTGTTGGTTTAGCTTCATGCACATAACGATGTTATATATAGGGCACCTAATTACGTGGTATAAAGGGCCTGTGTGACGAAGTGTTCAATAAAAGTTTTAGCGTAAAATTCGATAAAGTGTGTGATTAAAAAGTTAATAAAAATTGTGGATTTAATTAAATATGTGCTTAAAATTTGCATTTTACCTGTTGAAAAGTTGATAAAATTTTGTTAAATTTTATTAAACAAGCCCATAATCGTTTTCCTAATTAATTACTTCGCATTATATTCTTATCTCTCTCTATTCACTGCAGGTGATTGGCAACCCTACTCTTTAAGAACTTTGCTGTACCCGAATATTAAATTAAAATGAAAACTAAAAAAATGTGAAGAACAAGAACAACACACCCCACACTAAATTTCAAAAAAATTAACCCCAAAAAAAAAAACAAAAACTTGGAAACAGTTTAAAATAATATATTTTTCTTGCATATAAGAGTAAGCTTTTAGATGAATTATTTCAATACCATATCAAAGTGAGCAAATATTTCTAACTTTGAGTCTCGTCGATACTCATTCAAAAAAAAATGTGCGCATGATAAGTCTTTCATGGAAAAATAGTACTTGTTTTTGAAGATAATTTAAATAATAATAAAAAAACCTGTAACAACTTGTAGTTTCAGATGAGACAACTCAACATAATATCTAAACGTTCAAAGATTCCAGATTCGAGTTTGGTCACTACTCATTCATGAAACTCGTGCACGTAACAATTTAAATTTATAGACGGTGTGGCTCAAAGAATACCTGATGATTATTTTCTGCTGAATTGTAGCCAGGTATCTGATGGAAAGCTGGAGACATGATACGAGAATCAAGATTGTTGTAGTGGGCATGCTGATGATCAAGAACAAACGGCTGTTGTTGCTTGCTGATGAGTTTTTTCCTGAGTTTTTGCCTGTCTCTAGCTTTATGATTCTGAAACCAATAGAACACATTTTTCCCTTGTATTTTACCAAAATAAGAGAGATGGGCTGTGATTTTTTGTATCTGAGAAGCCTTTGGAGTTCTCACTCCTCTTCTATACAGTTCCTCCAAGATCATCAGCTGTTCTGGAGTTGGACACCATCTGGTAGAACCGGATGGAGACATTGTAACTGTATGAAATTTTTGAAAAGCAACTGTATGGAATAATTTGAGAGGTTCAAACATGGTTTAAATAGATGAAAATAATATAGAATTTGAAAAAATGGTGCAAAAGGGTTTTATTAGTTATTTATTATACAGGTTGTCATGCTGATGTCGAGAGAGAGAGAGAGAGAGCTGGACAATAATAGATATAAAGATATAAAGATAGAGTGATGTTTGGTTATAAAAATGCTTACGTAATTATCGTCCGATCATTTAATTCATAGCAGAATGATATAGAAGGCTAGGCAGATACGTGCAAGTTGCAGATAATTTTTTAAACACCAACTGACTTCTGTTTTTTTAATGGTATGTGAATGTGAGAAGAGTTGAGCTGCATATACATAAGCTTTTCGTACAGAATTCAACCAGACAACATACAATATAGGCTGAGTGGATATTTTTTGGTATTATTTTACCACTCACATGGGGCCCACCATGTGAGTAATCTGGTGAACTTCTGGAACCTCCTTTCTATACAAAGGGTTTACACCATGTGAGAATTTTGTTATTCGAAAAGCTAAGAAGACATTAATTGATATTAGTCCGTTTCTTTACATCTCAATCCTCATGGGATTCATTCTGAATAATATGGAATTCATCCTTAACATGGTCCTATAAAATGGTAGCTCCACACTGACTGAGAAATTCAATCTTGAAATTTAAATTCTTATTTGAGATTAAGGAGATAAAATTGCTTGTTTTAGACTCTAATGGACTTTAATATGGTCCTGTATTAGGTTTGATGTTCGACCATATCAATTTTATTTGTTGAGAGGAATAATCCAAATCTTTAACCGTTGACTCCATAGTTAATTGTGATGGGTAGGAATATTTCGATTAATTAATTTTTGCTAAAATAACTAATATAAGCCCAGAAAATGAAAAAGAAAAAGAAAATCTAAATTTGTTACATGCATTTATATATATCTCCATTTCATATTTATACATGCATAAGAGAGGTTTAATTGGACTTTACGTCCGTCTGCTAATAATTTCTTTTATTAATGAACTCATAATGCTATACATTAAATATTTCACTAGTGGTACCAGTTGAGCGATGATTCAATACAAAGTTAATGTTGTGATCGTTCGGATAACTTTATTTCTTAGCAAATTATTGAAAATGATTATCATGGTGATTTTATAATAATCTTGACCTTTTTATAGAATATACTTAAAAATATCCTTAATGACTTGACAAGATTATGGTTTGTTGTAATTTTTTTGTTAGACCTCTCTCTCTCTCTCTCTCTCTCTCTCTGATTTTCTGCATGAATTAAGTACGATCTAGGAATTGGGATAAGTACGTAGGCTTGATTCATTGGAATAACCCAAGAATCATAATATTCTTCTTGTTGAGAATGCTTTTTAGACTCTTGGAAAATAGTGTCAACCATAAATGCCATTTTAAACATTTCCAAATATATTTTGTGCTGCCTTCTTTCTTTAATTTCCAGCTTAATATATAATGTCCTAATTTTAGTAGGAATGTGACAAAAATAAATTATATATGCCTGCATAAACACGAAGGTACGAAATATGAGATTACAACATTAGGAAATTAATTGTCATCTCTCGCTTAGATTTGGTTAGGAATGTGAATTTAGTACGTAAAAAATGAACGAAAGAGGAGATTACTGTTAATATTTTGGGTCCATCTTAATAAGGTCAACCTTGTTAAGAGGAATAACTCAATATCTTTTTTAAGTTGGTCAATATTTCGGTATTTAACTGATATGAAATTTTTATTTCTTAACACGCCCTCGCAAACTGGTGACTCGTTTGAGCAGACCAATCTTGCAATCTGTTGCTCGTTATTTGAGATTTATAATCGGATCAAATCGCTCGTCGGAGCTTAATGCGCTCTGATACCATGTTAAGATTTTGAGTCCATCTTAATAAGGTCAACCTTGTTAAGAGAAGTAGCTCAAGATCTTTTTAAGTTGGTCAATATTTCGGTATTTAACTAATATGGGATTTTTATTCCTTAACAATTACAACATTAGGAAATTAGATGAAACAAATTAGGACCCACAACTTTTCAATCACATATTTCGCTAACTTTATAAAAAAAAAAAAAACTTATTAAAAATTTGATTTTTATTTAAACCAAACATGAACTAAGTCTGCAACTGTGACAAAATAAAAGCAAGCACATAAATATGAGACAAGAACTATATATTTACTCAGTACGTGTAGCCATGGATAGCTTCTTGGGTCATAAACGCAGTGTGCCAACATAATTGACATCAACCGTCCAGTATAAAATTTGCAAAAATTATACTGTCTCTTTTTAAATGCATTCAATAATATATACACACACATTAACTGATTAAGAAAGTGAAAATAATGAAAAGGAAATAATTCAGCACGTACGTTTTATGAATGTTGGGTACAAGAGACACCCTTATCATTATTAAGTTTGCCGCGTCAAAATAATGTGATGAATAAAGCAGTTGATAGTTGCAGTAACTTCATTGCTGGCTTAAAGACGATGATATACGTTTCATTGGATTGTACGGACTGAGTGTTTGTTTGATGAAGTTTTGCCAAACTTAGATCAATTTTTCAGTTAATCACAAGTTGATTTTAATCATACATTTCGTCAAATTCACAACTTTTATTAACCTTTCAACCAAACATTCCATTAAATATTTTTATTGAAATTTACTAAAATTTTTATAAAAAAAAAGTTTCACACGGCCCCTAAGAGTGAAAACATAAAAATCATTTTTGTTATAATGTACAGTATTGTTCAATAGTCGTAAAATATGCTAGTAATAAATACAATTACTTTAACATGATAATGTGTCAATCACGAGAAATTTTGGCAGATCATTTTTGGGATAAATTATATTTGTAGAACTTAAGTGATACTAAAATCCAAAGGAGATAAAAGTACGAAAACAAAATTAGGCAATGTTTGGTACCTATTTTTTTCAAAATGTATTTTTCTCTATTTTCTTTTCAACTATAAATTCTTTATTAAAATAATATTACACATTAATTAAAAAAATTTTCCTCATTTTTCAACTACACATTTTCCATCAATTTACCATTCAAAAATACATTTTTATATAAAAATGTCTCACAAATATGAACTCAACTTTTCACTATTTAAAAAGTTTAAACATTAATGATGTAGAAGTTGCATCATAAAGTGGAAAGGTTAAAAGGTCAAATTGGTGGTTAAAATAATTTTAAACAAATAAAAAAAATGTTTTTTAAAGAATGAACAAATAAAATTGATTTGCTCTTCTTCTTCATCTTCATCTTTTTTTTTTTCTTCTTCTTTTTTGGGCAGATATACTCGCTTCGAAATTCTTTTGACACATTTTACATTTGTAGCTTTTTATGTGTAATGGGATATAATTATTTTCCGATTGTTCCCTATATTTGAACGGATTGATCAGTCTCGACATAACATTATTATTATGTGATTTTAATCTAAAAATAATAATTGATTTGAATAGTGGGGGCCTGGGGAATAGGAGGAGACGACATCATACCTAGAGTGAGAGACTTGCAATGCATGAACTCTTTTACTATTGTCTGTGAACGAAAACTCAAATGTCTAGTCACTCTCAGTACCTGTCTGAGAAAATACAGTTAGGAGTTTTTTATGTTTTATACGTCAGAATAATACTAGTTTAAGCATTTGGCATTCTTAGAATTTCTCTTTTTTCTTTCCCAGTATAATAAACAAAAACTTGTTCCTTGATTTAGCATCACATCACAAATAATCGATTCAATTAATAAGAGAATAAATGGTATATTTCATAATTGTTCCGAAAATAACCTAATACTAATCATTTCAAAAAATGGATGTCATGAAGGGATAAAAGATGATAAGATATGCTCAAAAGACCCTAGACGATCAAGTCAGAAAGCAAAAAACTATGCATTAAATCACATAAGAAGTTAGGATAAAACTTGGGTACCTCGTTAGTGATTTTCTTTTTTTTTTTTTAATGTTTTTTTTTAAGATGAATATGTGATGTCTAGATCGTTCAAGAAATTTTTAAAACAAAATTTTCGCTACTATTTGTGACATGGTATGACAATCAAATTGAAATACATAAAAGTCTATTGACCCAATTAGAACTCTGCAAAAAAGTTAGTGATTTATCCAATAGAATAAATATTACTTGTCATGTAGTCTTTGATGAATCTTTGTTTCTTTGTGCCCCATGAGAGTGCTTCTTGCATTTTTTTTTTCTCTCTCTCTCTCTTTATTCTTGATATAATACCCCAACGTTTTTGTGGCTGGATGTGCGCAATATATTGTTGAACCAGGATAAAATATAGTGCTTCTTTCTTATTAATGCATCTGCGTTTATGTATTGGTTTATGAGAAGTTCAAGTGCCAATATTAACCGCTAACATCTTGATCTTCTTGTCTATTTATTTTTCCACCATTAGAAGACACTTTTGATACTGCTAAAAATTAAGACTAATGATGTTGCAACAGTTGACGACTATAATCTGTCAAGAGAGAGAAAAATGAGAGAAATTAGAGCCCTTCCCACATCATATAGTTAACTGTTGCAGAGCCACAATCTAACGAGGCTTCTATAAGGTGCCAAAATGTTGAGCAATGGGAAAATGTCATGGATTCTGGTTGACAAACTATTGCATTGGTTGTTCATTTGAACGATGAATTGAATTGGAGCAACTTGATGTCAAAAGGTTTGCTTACTCAAAAGGTAATGTATGCCTAAAGAAATCACCAATATAGAATATTAGATTTCTTTATGATAATGGCTGGATGTAACATATCCATGTATGACATGTGTTTACTATAAGGTCATCTCTGACTCAAATTTTACTGATGACATGCTATTTGGTACCCAAAGTAGTATGGAAAACAAGAGGCTAGCTACACAATGGATTTTAGATGAATAACCTAGGTAGGTCAAGAAATTTCAGACATGGAAATAACAAGTGACAAGTTGCCAAAGTACTCGAAGATCTCTCAAGCTTCTATTCAATTGATTTTGTAAATATAGGG